CTGACACACACACAGGCCGGCCCCTCGCACACTGACACACACACAGGCCGGCCCCTCGCACACTGACACACACAGGCCGGCCTCCTGGCTCAGCTGCAGCCCTGCACGGCCATGAGGGCACCGGCGTCCACCGGGCTGCAGGTCAGAAGGATTCTGGGCAGTGAGGTTCACCTTGTCCTTGGCTTCCAGCGGTTTGATCTCCCCAGGCCGGATGGGAAGTGTCTGCTCGCTCAGTGTTGGCAGGCTTTCTTCTAATAAAGGTTCCTTATTTTTCTCTTTTTTCAACGCGATCTCTTTCCTGCAGCTAAGGTGAGTAAAACAGACGATACGAGTTATCTGTGCACCATGAGTTACCCACCTCCAGCATGACCCAGGAGAACCAGCCACAGCCGTGCCCCCAAGTGCTCGCTCTCCCCAGCGGGGCAGGAGTCCAGGGCAGAGGGTGGCTGGGTGGCTGGCTTTTACCCGGCCACACCAAGGGCAAGACTCAAGCCCCGGCGGCGCTGGGTGGGACCGCACCCACCTGGCCTGCTCCAGCTCGCTGACGTGCACCTGCCCGACCGTCTCTTCATGGTGCGCAGCTGCTTCGCTCAGCTGCAGCTCGGAGCACACGTGGGCGAGGCTGTGGGGAGTGTGGCCAGGAGCGTCAGTGCCGCGCGGGAGTGGAGGGAGCCAGAAACGAAGCTACGAGTGTGTTTCATAGAAAACGGTCGACTAAAACATCGAGGCGTACTTGGATGATGTTTTCAATCATTTTTCAAGGTAAGCGAAATTACTAGGGAAAGTGCCAGGTAGCTCCATCACATTTCAGGTGGGATTTTTTCCTGCTCCTTCACAGATCTCGTGTGAGGCATTATCTGTTGCCTCCTGGATGCCGCCCGAGGAGAGGAGGAGGCCCTCAGGTGGGCTCAGCAGCCACCACCACAAGCAGAGAAGCCTTGACTCCTGTTGAAAACCCTATTCTTGTAAAATGCTTTCAGGCAAGCAGGAAAGTTGCACGGACGCCAGGAAGCATCCCTGTGCAGGCCCCGGTGGCCCCTCTGGGCCCCATGACCACACCTGCTCCAGCTTCCTCTCCCGCTCCCGCCCCTGGGATATCTGAGCAAGCTGAAGATGCAACTTGCAGCCTTTCTCCCAGCTCCTTCGGTGGCCCGGGCACGCTTCCATTTATCACACTGTGCTTTACTGCGCTGCTCAGATACTGCATATTTTACAAACTGCAGCCCTGAGCGACCAAGTCCATCCGCACCATTTTCCAACAGCACCTCCGCACTCGGCGTCTCTGTGTCACATTCTGGTGATTCTCAAAATATTTCAAAAAATCAAAATAGTATTATGATTCTGTTATGGTGATCTGTGTTCAGTGATCTTTGCGGTTACCATTATAATTGTTTTGGGGCACCATCAACCACGCCCATGTATGACAGTGAACTGAGTCGACAGATGTCCTGTGGGTTCTGACTGCTCCACGGCTTGGCTGCTCCCCCACTTCTCTCCCTCCCCTCGGGCCTCCCTGTTCCCCAAGACACAGAAGTTTTGAAATTAGGCCAGTTAGTAACCCTGCGATGGGCTCTAAGTGTTCCAAAGAACAGAACAGTCACACGTCTCTCACTTTAAAGGAAAAGCCAAAAACGATTCAGTTCAGTGAGGAAAGTGTGCAGGAGTGGAGACAGACTGGAAGCTCGGCCCTGCACCAGTTAACCAAGTTGTAAGTGCAAAGGGAAAGTTCTGAAAGGACATTCAAAGCTCCTACAGGGAACGTATGAACACAAATGACGAGAAAGTGAAGCCACCTCAGTGCTGATATGAATAAGTTTCCACGGTCTGCGCCAAAGAGCAAACCAGTCACAACATTCCTTTAGGCCGAAGCCTAAGCCAGAGCGAGGCCCTCACTCTCTTCAATCCCATGAAGGCCAGGAGACGTGAGGCAGCTGCAGAAGAAAAGTTTGAAGCTGGCAGAGGTGGGCTCGTGAGGTTTAAGGACAGAAGCCGTCTCCACAACATAAAAGTGCCAGGTGAAGCAGCAAGTGCTGACGGAGAAGCTGAAGCTTTAGCCGGAAGATCCAGCTAATAAGAGCATCAATGGTGGCTACGCTAAACAACAGATTTCAGTTGCAGACCACACAGCCTTCTGTTGGAAGAAGATGCCTTCCAGGACTTTCATAACTAGAGAAGAAAAGTCAATGCCTGGCTTCCAAGCTTCCAGGCACAGGCGGACTCTCTTGCTAGGGGTTAACGCGGCCGGGGACTTTGAGTCAAAGCCAGTCCTCATTCACCATTCCAAAAATTCCAGGGCCTTTAAGAATGATGCTCTATTGGCCGGGCATGGTGGCTCACGCCTGTAATCCCAGCACTTTGGGAGGCCGAGGAGGGCAGATCACGAGGTCAGGAGATCGAGACCATCCTGGCTAACATGGTGAAACCCTGTCTCCACTAAAAAAAAATACAAAAAATTAGCCAGGCATGTTGGTGGGCGCTTGTAGTCCCAGCTACTTGGGAGGCTGAGGCAGAAGAATGGTGTGAACCCGGGAGGTGGAGCTTGCAGTGAGCTGAGATGGTGCCACCGCACTCCAGCCTGGGTGACACAGCGAGACTCTGCCTAAAAAAAAAATAATAAAAAAAAAGAATGATGCTCAATGTACTCTGCCTGTGCTCTGTAAGAGGACAACAAAGCCTGGTGTCAGCACCTCTGTTGACAGCATGGTTTGCTGAATATTTAAAGCCCACTTTTGAG